AGAAAAGTGGAAGGGGGGTGGAATCCTGTGTTTTGCAGGGTAATTAGCACAATGGGGGGAGCCAGAGAAGTAATGAGTACTTGTGTCTGATTCTTTGAGATGGAAATCTGGGTCGCATTCAAAAATTCCAGAATGCTGGAATGTCTACCAGGTTCGCTGTGGTCTGAAGTGTGAGGCATATCTGGTACTTGGACGCTTCCCCCTTTGACTTTCTTACATCTGTTAGCTGGCAAACAAACTTGGCTTTTTCTTTAAAAAATTTTGTGTTAAAAAAAAAAAAAAGAGCACAGTGTTTATATTTAGGCACAGGCGCAGGGAGCACCCAGCAGCAGCCTGAGTTTCCCTGGATAACCGGGCTCAGGCATCCAAATGCCTTCCCGTTTCCCGGACACCAGCTGCAGGACGCTTGAGCTGCATCAGCCCTCCGCGGTGCCTCTTCCTAAATGCCCTGATCACAAAAGCAGAGTAGCTCAGCTCACATGACGAACGCCGCGCGAGGTAGTCGGGTTTGAGAGCAGCCCCAGTCTACGCACAGTTGGTTCCCAGCTGACAGACAGAGATGGGGTGGGCCTTGTCACCAGCGCGCTGGGTCTGGCGTGCCCAGCGATGCTCGGCAGTGCACAGTGCCCAGATACCCGCCACCTCTTCCAGGGCCCCAGCTTCTCTGGCACCGAGGGGCTGGGCTGTGCGCCTCGCCTTCCTCCCATCCGAGAAGGTTATATAATGAGCGGACCACTGCCAAAGTCACAGGGAAAATGAAGTCTTTGTTAAATGCCTTCACCAAGAAGGAAGGTAAGGAAAAAGCTGTAGGGCGCGTGGTGCATGGGAATTAGCAGATTTCTTACGGATTCTCGGGGGGAGAGCGGGACTCCAGTTCCTCCTAAAATTGCTGGTTGTTAATCCGTGTCATGCAGGGGGATAATTACTTGCGGTTTGTGATACGGTTTTGTTTGAGTTGGTCTGGGATATTAACACGGTTGAAGGTGCCGTTTTATTTTACAATGTCTTTAAGCCTCCAGCCCTTTGCAGAACGGCATTCCGGAATGTCCCTCCATGGTGACTGTGCCGGAGGACACATTAAGAACTAAGTCCTATGGAAAAGAAAGGAAGTTTTGACTCGAGTCTGGCGGTTACCTGGAGGCTGCTAAGCACTTCCTCCGGCAGGTCGGGGCACATGGCTGGCTGCACCGTGGGAGGGGTGGAGGCATCAGAGCCACTTCGTGGCTCTCCTTGGCTGTCCCTGGTTGCAATTTCATGGAGTGGAAGGGGATCTAGCGTGCCAGACTTGAAAAGTGCATACGCTTTTTGTCATACCTTGTGTAATTTTTATTGTGGAAAAAAAATGTATAAATAAACGCATGGAAGACAGCTAAGAAAATATCCACCCACTTAGAGTTTGCAGATTGCCTGAAAGAAGGAAACAGTTGGGTGGAATATTAATCATTTTCAGACAGGAAAAGACTTATTTTTAACCCTTTTCACAAAAATCATCACTTCCATGGGTAGTTTCAGTTAGTTTGGTCAGACAGCTCTCGTTTTATGAAATCAGATGGTTTATGAAGATATTACTTTAAAGAAATTAGAAAGGTACTCCCTTGCCCAAGCTCATTGTAAAATAAACACCGAAGAAATTTCTGTGCTCAGGAAACTAATTTAATGTGAATGTTGGCAGTTAAGCAAGGCAGTTTTCATTAAAATGTTCGCCCAAATGTCACCCATGTGATTCCTTTTTAGTAACTTGCCTGATCTCCCAGGTAAAATGGATTTGAAAACGTCCTAGCTATTTTATTCCTTATAGGGTGGCCTCCCCTTGTGAATTCTTAACCACTCTCCTCCAGGTCCTCCCTATTCAGACTGATTCTCCAGAATCTGTATTTTTTAAAAATGCCTTTGTCTTTGCTCATTCTCTTACATTATTCACAACCATGCACCTTCTAGGACTTGAGTGTGAGCCCATGGGCAGCAGGAGCATTTCAGTCGGGGGCGATGGTGTCAGGTCACTGTGTATCTCTTCTGGTCTTGCATACACGTTTCCTTCCTAACGAGTTTATCTTGGCAATTGGTAGGACTCCCCAAATGCCATCACTTTTCTATTAAGAGCATTGATACGTTGCCCAGTTACATGGATCAGAAAAAGAATTTACTGTATTGTTGGGGTGGGAAGCCTTGGCCGGATGGAAGCCTTCCCTTGCCTGGGAGGTATGTGGGTACCTCCTCCACCTGTAAGAGGAAGCCCTGGCCTCTCGCTTCTCCTTGAGCAGGCTCCAGGAACCCAGGCAGCTGGGTGACTGCTTTCTTCTTGCTGTGTCTGCCTTTCACACGGATGTAGTCCTGCAGTCCATAGTCTCTGTAAATGAAAGCTCATTGGTCTCTGAGATTGTGGGACCCTCAGCCCTTTGCAGGGTCCTTTAACCCCTCCCCCATGTCATGCAATTCCCAGATCACCCAAAGCCCCCACCCTCAGCCCCCTCCAGTTGCATTGTTCAAAGCCTCAGTAAGGAGCACACAGTCATTCCTCAGGGTTTTTTTTAGCCTCTGCCTGCTTATAGGGAGGGACACTAGTGTGATTTAACATGCTCATGACCAGCAAAACCCCATTCGGTGGTCTGACCCAAGATGAGGTGTTCTAGTAGGTGGACTGCAGTGGACTCCGGGCCAGTTCCTTGAGGGGGCAGCCTTGTGGCTCTTGAGAGAGAGGTGTCCATGGAGGATGCTGTCAGCCTTCCTCCTCTTGTCTCTCTTCTGACCAACCTAAATGCTGGCATTCAGGAATTTATTTGCTTTGTTAAGAAATTAAGAGTGGGATGAAAGTCCCAGCTCAAGAGCCCAGGCTTAATGGTGCCTCTTCCCCTGACAAAACGCTTCACAGAGGAAGCAGATGAGAGCGAGTGTGTGCTGTCGCTTAATTGGAAACACTGTGACCTCCCTGATGTGTCATTTCCGAATTCTTAACGAGTGTACTGCAGTCCAAGTGCGCGTCCCCAGGAAGCCTCAGGCTGTTCTGTGTAGCTCCAGGGCTAGGTTCCTGAATCTGTTTTCCTGGGACTGCCCTGCATCCTGGGAAGGTGGGTTAGGGGGGCACTGGGTCACAGCTGTCTTGGTGGAGCTCTGCCAGCGCCACCTCTGTCTCCCTTGAGCTCTGCCAGAGCCACTTCTGTCCCTTTCAATTCTGTCAGTGCTACCTCTGTTCCTTTGAGTGTTGCCAGCACCATCTCTGTTCAGCATGAGCTCGGTCAGTGCCACCTCTGTACCTGGGAGCCCTGCCAGTATTGCCTTTGCTCCACATGAGCTCTGCCAGCACCACCTCTATTGCCCTTCCCCCTTGAATCTTCTGGTGTTGCCTCTTAACCTCTTGAGCTCTATCAGATCCATCCCTGTTCCCCTTGAACTGTCCAGTACTACGTCTGTCTTCTTCCTCGAATCTGTCAGGCCACCTTTGTCTCCCTTGAGCTTCGCCAGTGCTATTGCTGTCCCCTGTCATCCAGGTGTGTGTAGGCTGGCTGCAGTGTCTCTGAAGGATACAGCCATCTTTGGTTTTGCTATCCTCATGGCGGTCTCTGACCTTAGACAGCCAGGGGTAGCCGACTGTCTCGGTCCCAGTCCTAAAGCACTAGTGATGCTCTTTTTCCTTTGAGACATTAAAGCCCTTTCCCCAGGCCCACTCCCCCTAGAGGACACATATTGTCCCTTGCTTTGCAGCTTCCAACTTGACAAATGGCAACCCTGGCCATGGGCATCACATGCTTGAGGACTAAGGGTGGGTTCAGACCTGAGGGTTGTCATCCCAAGGCAGTGGAAGATCGGCCTCAGGCATCAGAGGGCCTGGGGAAGCCCAGCATCTTGGGCTAATCAGGGACTGTGGGCATCTCCTGCTTCCCCGTAGCCTGGCGGGCTATTCCCTGAGATGCCCCATCTCATAAGGACACTGTCTATTTCTGGCTCCAGCCTCCTGAGCATCCCAGGGCCTCCACACATGGTCGCCAGCCCCCATGGCCATCAGGGCCACTGTCCTTGTTCTGCTCCTGGGCACACTGAACTCAGGAGAATCAGGCCTTGCTTCTCTCTGGGACTCCACAAGGTCAGAGGTGCACACCTTCTGCTCTGTCCCACGCTGGGCCCCAGTTTGAAAGAAAAGGAGTGTCTCAGTGAGGGCTAGAGTGGGCTCACTTGACTGACAGACTGACTTGCTTTGGCTGCAGAAACCAAGCAGCGCAGCTGGGTGGCTGAAATAGCAGCATTTATTGCCTGGTGCTCCCAGAGGCTGGAAGTCCGCCATCGAGGTGTGGGCAGGGTGGGTTCCTCTGGGTCCCTCTCCTTGGCTTGTAGACAGTGTCTTCTCATGGTGTCTCACATGATCATCCTGGGAGTGGGTATCCTGCTCACCTCTTCTTAGAAGAACACCAATCCTATGGGGTTAGGGCCCTCCCTTATGACACCATTTTAACTTAACTGTAAAGAGCCTGTCTCCAAACACAGTCAGGCTCTGAGGCACTAAGGGTGAGGATGCCAGCATATGGATTTTGGGGGCATATAGTTCAACCCATTGGAGAGACCAAGCTTAAGTCATCAGAAGGGGGTTTCATAGTAGCTTGGTGTCCTGACTGCTTTGTGAGACTGACTCATGGCTCCCCTCTGGTGGGGCAGTCCACCCTTGCACAAGCACCACCAGCCAGACTCTTCCGGGCTGTTGGAAGAATGGGCAACCGCCAGATGGAAGCTCGGGTCCCGAGATCCTTCCATCTGAAGCCTTGGCCTGAGCTTCTGTGCCATGGAGACATTCTCAATCTCCACCCTGTCTCTCTGCATCTATGGTGGGGTGAGTTCTGGGCCTCATGGCATCTAGCTGGGGACCCAGCACAGAACTCATGGCTCCCCTCTGCTCGGCTCGCATGGGGGTTGGGGGGTAGATGCACCCAGGCCGGTGCCTCTTCGTGTCCTGCCTGCACCGACGTGACACGGCTGTACTCACCTGGCCCTCTCCCTGTTCTCTCCCCATGCAGTGCCCTTCCGGGAGGCCCCGGCATACTCTAATCGCAGGCGGCGGCCCCCCAACACGTTGGCCGCCCCCCGGGTCCTGCTGCGGTCCAACAGTGACAACAACCTCAATGCCAGCGCTCCCGAGTGGGCCGTCTGCTCCACGGCCCCCTCGCACCGCAGCCTCTCACCCCAGTTGCTGCAGCAGACGCCCAGCAAGCCCGATGGCGCTGTGAAGACCATCGGGAGCTACGTGCCTGGGCCTCGCAGCCGGTCCCCGTCGCTCAACAGGCTGGGCGGCGCAGGCGAGGATGGCAAGAGGCCCCAGCCGCACTGGCACGTCGGGTAAGACATGGGCATCAGGAGGTGTGTGTGGGGTGGCTTCCATGGGTACCAGGGTGAGGGAGACCCTGTGCACCATGGACCCTAGTTCTTCCAACTTGGGCCTTATCCAGAGGGTAAACAGAAAGCCTGTTGACCTGCTGTGCATCCAGCCCAGGTGCCATGAAATTGTTACAGCCCGGGTTCTGCCCTCTGCCGCTGCTGAGGTGGCCTGAGGACTGGGGTCATTTTCCTGAGCTGAGCTTCCTAGGGGGGCTGGGATGCTACTGCAGCCTGGACCCTCATTTCCTTTCCTTGCACCTCAACTTCTTGGCCCTAGAAGTGAAGTGTCTGGTGGGAGGAGGTAGGCAGCAAGCCTGGTGTGTGCCGAGAGCGCTTCCCACATGTGCACACTTGTGAACACACTGGGTCCCAGGTTGTCACTAGTAGCAGTGGGAAAGCCTGGCACACATGAGAAAAGCAAGGCTCAGAGAGGCCAGGCCATACAGCAGCCTCAGTCATGGTCTCAGCTACTACCTGGAGTGGGGACTGTGTGCCCAGCACGACAGGTGCATGAGGGCATCTCAGTTGGTCTCCAGAGCAGCCGTGGGTGATGGGCTTGTCCCATTTCCTAGACAGGGACATAGACCAGCATAGGATAGACTGAGAATCTGCCCATGGTCTCTTGGTTGGAGCCCTCTAGAACGTCTAACTTTGGTTCTGGTTCTACAACCAGCTTCTTGCCTCCCAAGCAGCCAGGGCTGGATTCGCACTCAGCCCCAACTCCTAGGCATGCTTCCTGCTTTGTCATGCTGCTTTCCAGAATATTTCAGGCAAAGAAGGAATTTCTGAGGGTCACTTCATTGCTGACACCTTTGGGCCTGAGTTTGTTTTCAGTGCAAGCGATTAAGGCAGGAGCAGGGACAGTCTCTGGTGCCCTTGTGGGGGCTGGGCCCATCCTGTGAACTTTAGCACTACCAACTCCTTTCCCCAAAAGGTTCCCAAACTTGCCCTGGGTCACCCAGCCAGGAGGAAGCAGGGGCAAGACACTGACCCAGGTCCTGGTTCTGGAGCGATGACATTGGCTTGGTGTTCATGTAGAGTTGGGCCTGTGGCCTGTGTTTTTCTAGTTGGTGCAGTGTTTTGGTGATCCTTAAAAGTCCCTTTTGGGGGACAAGCAGATGGTTGACCACAGTTCGAATCCTGGATCCAGTGGTTTAAAAACTCATGCTGGGTGCATGTGCACCTCTGCCCAAAATCCCGAGAAGAGAATGGAAGAAAGGGGATTGCAGCATGGCCATTCCCCTTGGAGGGTGATTTCTCACTTTCTGGCTGTCTGGCAAGCACACGTGCCCTATGGCAAAAATCTCTCTAAAAAAATTAAATTTAATTAAATTAAAAAATAAAAGCCCCCTTTGGCTTGGCACTTGGTGATTTGGGTTCCTGACTTCACCCCAGCATGCCTGCTTCGCTGGTCTCAGAAACCATGTGTATTTCCAGCCTGGTTGTGGTGTCTTGCTCGGCTCAGCCATGCCCTCATACCAGCTCCAATCATGGCTGTCAGAGAAGAAAGTCACCACCTCCTGTGGTACCCACGGACCCTCTCCTGCCAGTTCAGTGTGACTTCAGGGAGGGGTCAGTGCCTTAGACCACCCAGGGAGCTGATTGCCCTGGCCTGACCAGGACCAATAGACAAGGTCCAGGGGCTGCAGCCAAGGAAGCCGTGGTGAGAACATGCCCTGGGAGCTCAGGTCTCTGGGTCCAGTGGCAGGGTCTTGGTCTGACCTTCTCAGAAGCAGCATTCCCCACCCCACATCAGCTCTTTAACCCTCTAACCCCCTTGACATTTCCCACAGAGCTCAATGACAAGATTCAGTCCCTCGTTCTGGTCTAGATTCCGGTATTGCATAAGCCCCAGGGAGAAGTCCCAGGTGCTAAGAACAGTTAGAAGCTAAATTAAAGGATTCCCCTGAGGCAGCCAATTCCACCCTTAGCTAGAATTGACTATAATTTAAAAAAGAGTGTGTCCCCTTCCCCCAGCACAAACCTTAGATTAGAAGGCAGCGTGGCAGGGCTTGCACAGGCTGCACCAAGTGTTGCAGCGAGGAGGGAAAAGCAACAGGGGCTGTGGTCGGGGCCTCCCAGTTGCCCCCAGTGTCCTGCACATACACGGGCACACCATTTGTGTTTGTGTGTGCATGCCTATGTAATGTTTGGTGCTTGTGTGTCCATGCATACATGCGTATGAGTATATGTTTATGAACACGTGTGTGTACTCCCATGTATAATGTTAGCACACTTACGTGTGTAAACATTTCTGTGTGTGCATGTCTATGTATATGTGCAAGTGTGTGTTTATGCTTATATGTCTGTGTTTGCCTTCCACACCCATATGTTCGGTCTGTGCAGTTGTATGTGTATGTGCGCATACATGATGCAGTGATTTTAAAGGAAACTATAGTAATATGAGTTTACACTGGACTCATGATTAGCCTTCAGATCATGTAGCATAGGTCTCTACTGTTTTTATCAACAGAAATGCTTTGCATCGAAATCAAAGAGATAATGTTTGTTTTGCTATTAGCGGAGAATGTTGAGTACTAAAAGCCCAAACATTTAGTAGAACATTAAGGAACAAGTGAAAGACTAAATGTATTGAGGAAAGTCCTTCCTTATAGAAAATGTGTTCCTTCCAACCTAGTGCATGAGTTTGCAGGGTGCTCAATAAACAGACCTAGGTTACTGTCATTAAACTCACTCTGCTTTGTGAAAATCTGCTGCATAATTGGTTCTATAATTAGAAAGGAAAATAAATCATTTCCATTCGTGTAAAAAGATGATTTGCTTAAAAGGAAAAATGACTAGTCATACTTGAAGTTTACCTCCATGCCAATCATACTCAGAAATTCAATAGGCTTTTTGCATGTGGTGAACAAAATACTTCTGTGTGCACAATGAACAGAAACATTTGTGTGTGCATACATGTGTGTGTGTGTGTGTGTGTGTGTGAGAGCCGCCAGTGCTTGCTGCCTGACTGCCTGTACACATTCTCTGTACTGTACCACTGAGTTGCTATGGAACCGTGCGCAACTTACCCACTCTGCTTTGCCTTCGTCAGTTATAAAATAAGGATGGAAAAGAGCAGTGTCAGCCTGTTCTCAAGATTAAAGGAAGGAATTCAGGGCAGGTGCCTAGCTGAGTGTCATATGCTTGCAAGTGTTCAGTTCACACTGATCCTTAGACCTCAAATCTGAGTCCAGCCCAGTGCTCAGAGTTCAGCCAGGGCTGTGCCCTGTATCAGCCAGAAGTGTTGGGTTGGGTGTCTGGGATTGCCTGGGATGGAGGGCTTTCAGTGCTAAAGCCAGAATGTCAGTGCCCCGACTGCTAGCCTGCTGCTTGTCCCGAGTCAGAAAGCTGTCCTGGCCCGGCTGATACCCAGCCTGGCTAGGTGGCACCTTGGCCTACCAGTCCTGCCTCTTTTGGCCTTGTCCCTGTCTTTTCCCTTCTCTCTGCCTACCTGTCCCATGTACTTCTGCCCCCTCGTTGGTGACATAGCCAAGCTGCAGGTCCTTAGCCCTCCCACCCGTTCTCACTGCAACTTGCTGGTGGACTGGCCTCTCTCTGGGATGGCCTCCCTCCTGGCCTGCCCAGAGCCCCCACCTGTGTTCCT